TCTCGGCTTTTTCACATTCGTCCCTAACAGTTTCCAACAGTTTTACGGGCGACATATTCTCAAAAAGTTACCTTTAAAGCTTAAATGATTTGTCTCTTAAGAGGCTACCGACTTACCCTACTCTTGGCGTATACATTTCCTCCGAGAAATAATTCTGTTATATCACTTTCATCCACAAATTTCTTAACATCTTCATAACAGAGAAAGAGCACGGGAAATCCGACATTTTCCCGAATGATAATGTCGAGCCGCTTCAATATCGTATTCTTCTGGAAACACAATACGTAACCTTACCTTGAAGTTATGAGGGTACAGTAATTTTTGAAATGATGCACGAATTACGAGACTCGTCAACCCTAGTTGTGCATAACTATGGTTTCTTCCTACAGGGGAAAATATTCAAATATAAGAAATAACAGTGCTCTTTGAAGTTAATGATTCAAAATATATCTTCTGTTTCTATAACTTTATATTAAGCAAAAAAAAGCTCATTACCAGAGAAGATGGTAAGAAGTCTGCTTGAGCTAAAACCTAAGTTGAAAAACTGACAGTTTGCACGCTCTCTTTAGCAAAAATAGGTTTTATAAAGCATTTTTTGAAACCACTCACAAAATACTCAGCTGTTGCAAAGAGCGAAATAAAATCAGCGTCTGAAACTGAGTTTAATGGTATATTTATCATTAAAAAAAGAACAATTTCTTGTGCGTCATAGACTAAAGACAGTTTTTGGTATATTGCTGCGAAAAGATGTTGCTTATTTTGATAAAGAAAAATAAATACCGGACTATATCTGGACAATGAGCTGCAAACTCACCCTTAGCTCAGCTTGGATTAAAAGCTATACATGACGGCATCAACGATAATCATAAAAACAGATGTGGTGAGCAGATACTTACACAGCACTGGCAGTACTTTGCAGTTCTGCTATCCTTAAACTCGCTAACAAAAACTCTTGGTTTCCAGATTGATTTACTTAGCAGCCAAATGCAATAGAATCATTTCGTTATTGGCTAGCTAACTTTTTTGTAAATTTCCATTCCTACTTCTCTTAAGCAGACTATATGTAGGTGTAGGGTGGATAGATAGAACAGTCGATGTGTGATAAAAGAAATCGGTGCTTACCATAGATGTGGGTAACCAGAGGCAGTCCACATCGATCTTTGCTTCCTTGGCTGGGTACTCAGTAGGTAGGCGAAAGTGAAGATTCACAGGAGAGAGTTGTGTCGTCTCAAATCGCCTATAGTCTTAAAGAAATGAGCACATTTTTAAACGAAAACCTTGACTTTCAAAGAGTGATCAGTTGAAAAGCTACCGTTTGAGCCTATGAAAGCTCTTTGATAGATTTCTTTTGCCATTGCATAATTTTCG